TATATCTCCTGGGGAAAGCTACCTGCACTTAAATTCCTGGGTCTGTGTACCTGCTCTGACCATAATAAGTGGTTCCCAGTCTCCCTTTTTGAAAATTGTCATTTAGGCTTGTTAATGGAGAATGTAACAGTAATTGTTGGCTAAACAAGAACACCCAGAATCGATAGGTGCACAGGAACAGAGCTAGTAAATATGACAGGTGGATCTTACCATTGGAGAAAGAAAGGGGCTTCCTTGACCCACCATATTTCACTTCTAAACAAAACATTACTTTTGAGCAGACTGACCTTTTAAATAGTGGAAATCATGTGAACATGTCCTCTCATTGCCCATTGACATGTCCAGTAAACTGCTGTTATGATTGAGCCACTAAGCAACTTTTCAGCCCTCCAAGCTCTAAGGTCTTTTGTTTTTTTGGTACAAGACACCCTAGCCTTGGAAGCCCATATACAGTAAAAGAACCTCTAAGACCAAGCTACACTGCAGTGGAAAAAATATCAGAGAAGTGTCTGAGCTACTTTTAGTTGAAAAAATACAATCAGAGACATAAATTTGTGACTTAAGCTTTTTAGTTAAAAGTAGAAGATATATTGTATGTTACTTATATATTTCAATTTAAATTGCCCAGTTTAGGCTTCCATGGCAACTAGTGAGGCACTAATTGATAAATTAACAGCTTTTGATCCAGTCGTCCTTTTAAATGTTAAAAAATCTGAAGAAATGATGACCTACGTCAGCAAAATGTCAAGTGATATTTGAATATGTGACAGGTTAGCACCTGTGTACAGATTAGAAGCTTAGATTTCCATCAGCCCATCTAGATGAAACACATTGAACAGAAAGAAAATCACCTTAGCAACCAGACACTTCTATTTACATGAGGAGCATTTCTGCAATGTGATCAGCAGCAGAATATTTTGGTGTGGAGAATGTAATTGCATGCAGGGAGGATGTGTGGGGAATGGAGAGTGGTAAAAGTAGAAGTATGCAATGTCCTGTTTTTGACTGAATTGTAAATTGTTAAAATTCAGAAGACGTAGGGTTAGGAAGGCAGCTGAAAAGCTAAATGTTTCCTGGTTTTAAATTTTATGCAGTTTGCATTAAAGCTTAACTCCAGGCATTTGCTGTCTGTGCCCCATTGGGAAGATCCCCCTCACTTCTTGTCCTGATGAGCGTATGTAACAGGATGAAGAAATTACAGAACTCTCCAGTGGCGACAGATGCCAACAAAATGTATCATTCTAGGTAAGGGGTAGAACATATGTTATGTTTTTACAACTATATGTGTGTTCCTGTTCCGTTCATTTCTTATCCTAAATGGAATCCAAATAGGGTCAAAAGTAAAAAAAAAGCACAAAATCTGTAACTTTACAATGCTTAAAAAAAAAGATTTTGGCTGTAGTTGGACTACAAAAAGGACATTTGCTCTAGGTCCATTAACAACATGTTGTTTGCCTGGAGCTCTGCATAGTCATCATATCTGGATTATGTAATTCTTCATTGGGAAATTCAGTTTTTCTAAAATATTTGCTAGTAATATTTTATTTTCATTTTTTATGCCCTAAGCCAGAGGAATCTAAGGTTTTCAATACTTTTCTATGGATTGGTGTCCTACCTCTCTTTATACAAGCCCAGATCCACTCACAAATATGCATTAGCCAGCATTTACCAGAATTTATTCTTGCAATATGCCAGAAACATTGCCAGTAAATTTGGGCTAATAATGTTATTAAAAAATACAGGACTTGTAAACGTTCCTTGTTTTAACCAACATTTACAAACAGGGCCCTTATTGTTAAATACACACTTTTCTATCCATAGACAATCTGGCCATCAGTATGGTTGAAATAAAGATTTACATGACAAACAAAGCTTGGTTTTTATGTAAGGAAATTGAATCTAGTGTGTGCTAACCACCAGTGAAAAGCTAAAGTTTGAGCCAAACTGAGTTTGGCCTGAATCCATCAATTCTAATTAGCTGTAGCCAGGGAATTTCCCACCCCAGAGCCAAACAAAACAAAGAGGTGGAGATGTTAGTGATATCATTGACCCAATATTGTCATATTTAGTCAAAATATGGCCATATTGGGTCAATATTACCAACTGCCATTTAGGACCATATGTTTCAACATGATGTAAGTAAGAACTGTAGTAGCCACCAACCAGATTAACACCTTTAAGACAGGACTGATGTTGAAGTAATTCTAGTTCTTAGTATATGGCTTGGTTACACATATACATTTAAAAATAGGTTGCTTACTTAACCACTTGCCTACCAGGGTTCCTGCCCAGGCCAATTTTCAGCTTTCAGCGCTGTCGCACTTTGAATGACAATTGCGCAGTCAAGCAACATTGTACCCATATTAAATGTTTATAATTTTTTTCTCACAAATAGAGCTGTCTTTTGATGGTATTTAATCACCACTGGGTGTTTTATGTCTTGCACTATAAACAAAAAAAGAGCAAAAAATGTTTTTAAAATTTTTTTTTGTTTCTTTTATAAAAATTTAGCAAACAGGTAATTTTTCTCTTTCCCTGATGTTCGTTGATGAGGCTGCACTGATGGGCACTGATAGGCAGCATTGATGGGCACTGGTGAGGTGACATGGATAGGCAGCACTGATGGGCACTGATGCGCACTGATAGGCGGCACTGATGGGCGGCACTGACTGGTGGCACTGATGGGCGGCACTGATGTGCAGCACTGTTGGGTGGCACTGATGGGCACTGATGGGTGGCACAGCTGGGCAGCGCTGATGGGAGGCACTGCTGGGCAATGGTGGTTGGCACTGATGGGCACAGGTGGGAGGCACTGTTTGGTGGCACTGCTGGGCACAGGTGGGTGGCACTGCTGGGCGGCACTGTTGGGCACTGATCATCTGTGCTGATCTGTTCTCTAACAATTGCCAATTATCGGCAGTACTTTCCTCGCGCTGTGACAGCGTGAGGTAAGTGCAGCTGATAACTGGCAACTGTATTTACCTGGTGATCTGCTGTGTCATTGGACACCGCTCATCACGTGGTAAAAGGCTGCTGTGATTGGCCTTATTGGCCTTTTACCACAACACGTGATCAGCTGTGTCCGTAGGACACAGCGATCACGGAGATCACCAGGTGTGCGCCGCTGGGGGCGCACGGGTGGGCACGTTCTGGGAGGACGTCATATGACTTCCTCCCAGAAATGGTCATTCGACTATAGCATGGTTGCCAAGTGGTTAATGATCTGTATATAAGAGGCAGAATAAATTGCCTGTTTTTTTTCTCACTGTTTTCTGTTTAGTAATAAAAAAAAAACTGGCAGCTATGATGAACTTAATTGAGCAGGTCAGTCATCTGTCAATAGTTTTTCTTAAACATGAAGGCCATTGATATGGTTACACATAATTTAGCACAATTATACCCTCCTTTTATCCTGCACATCTCATACAGTCAACCCTAATGTTACTGTTTTTGGTGGATTTGTTGCATACCATCAAATACACTGGACATGAAGAGATGACGTTTTCAAGCTATTTACTCAAAACTCATTCCAACTGGGTCACATAAAAGTTCAGTACTTTTATAAGCTAAGATTAAAATGTCAAACAAAAATAGGATAAAGATAGCAATATTGTGAGTGAAAGCAGCAGTTGGAGTTTCCAAATGAGCAGCGTGCTTTCCCACAGTTTTATATATTAAAAGCTTATTTTATGCGGCCGCATGTAGTCCAAACGGCTGCAGCGCAATGCTGCAATATTTAGGGGATTAAAACAGGAAGTAAGGGGCGACACCCTACCGCAATTACCTTCTTCATTCTTTCCTTACTATGCTCACACCTACTATACTAATGGTGCTCCTTTCACTGTCACTGCTTCCTTCCACTTTCCTCTCAGGTCGGCTCCTACAGGGCCTTCTTTGTCCCTCCCATTATTCCATGATCAGCTCTAGGTGCTCTTCTCTCTCCTCTTCTGTTTAGCATAAAATGCTTCAACTTTGTCTCCTCTATGCTTCTGTGGCCCACAATAGAATAATGTTCCACCTTCTCGATCTCGCCCTCCTTGCCATCTATGTTCAGCCACCTTTTTGTGTTTTTCTCTTTCTCCGTGTAATGCTCCTGCTCTGCCTTCTCCCCCCCCCCCCCCAACTTTATCAACTTACACTTTGTCACCTTCCATGGCACACTTGACAAAATGTGTCCAGCTAAATATTTTTGGGCAGTAACGCATACCAGTGTGTTAAATTGCTTAGAGGCTGAAAACCATTTGGCCTAAATTACCAGTCACACATTTGTTAGCAATTGTTAAATAAAGCCTGATAAATGTATAGAAAATGTGCTTTGCATTAGTTATATTGGTTTATTGGACTAATGGTGGTAATTAGTTATACTGGTTTATTGGACTGATCATTTTCGGTACATTGGTTTTAGGGGATACTATTATCAAAGAAACAGAACGTTTCAGCTAATGTTTTTCGTCTCAAAGCAATAACCATTTATAAAGTAGTTAAAGATGCATCTATTTTGTCTCTAAGATAGGCTTCAGTATGTTTAAATTTTTTAAAACAAAGCTTGTTTTTAGGGGTGAAAATCTTTTACCTATGTTGGTATTTCACTGTTTCAGTGCTGTTATACAGTGTTTTAAACTTTAGGCAAAAAAAGCAAAATACAAAGATAAAATACACATATGTGAACAAGATAGACTTCCCAAGTTCATGACAATATAGCCTTGCTGGATATACTCCAATGTAGTCTTGTTGGATATACTCCAAAATGACAACAGAGTATAAAAATATAGTGTCTTGCCCTGCCTGAAAGAGACTTCATGTCCCCTTGTGGGAACTCGCTTCAAGTGGTAGAGCTTCTTCAAAGCACACAGCAACTCGCTTATTTTTTAAGGGCCTGTTTGCCCACTTTTATTTAAAAAAGTTCAAACAACCAAAATTCTTCCCACGCAGGGGTATCCACCATCACACGAATTCAAATAAACAGTATTCAGCCTCCTGGCTTGTACGCAGTTTTAAGTCTGCCTCCTGCAGACTCTTCCCCAAAGTATGGCACTAGCACACAGCTAGTCCGGCTTCCACCTGACTCCACGGCAGAGACCTCCTGCCTGCCGGGGTGGAATCCTCCTGACTCCGTTTGCCGGGGTGGAGCTCAGACTCATGCCTGGCCTCCACAAAAAGGCCTGCACACACCTGTGCAATCAGCACACTGGCTGCTCCCAAAATATGGGCCCAGGATTGGAGATTTCATCCCTCCCAAATCTCTTAGAAATCTCCAGGCAACAGGTCCCAAAACAGGCTTTTACAAACCAAAGAGGAAACTTATAAACCCGTTTCCTCTGCATTATGAGAACTGCCTGGAGCCCCTCAACCTGCATGGTTGAGAATCCTGGGTCTCCATCATGATTTCCACCGTGGCAGGATACCGCACTGCCACACCCTGCACAAACCAATATATGCATCTTAACCCATAAACTAGCCGTTGCCAGTACCCTGAAAGCCCTGGAGTGGGAAAAGCTCTAGCCCAAGGGTAGAGGAGGGCAATACAGGAGACCAAACACTGGTCCACCTCCACCCCCTCATTCTTTTTCATTATATTTTTACCCATTTCCTACACATCCCCCATTTTTATTTTTGTCTTATTTTATTAAGCTTTCTACTCCCTTTCACTGCTCTATCTTGGTTTTCTGCATCACCCATTTCCACCTTTTCTCCGGCACCCTTCTTCACCCCTTGCCTTTCCCTCTCTCACATCCTCAACCATCCATTCACAAATGCAGCCCCTCTAGTCTTGAAAGAGGGAACTAAGTCTTAGAATTCCACAGGTCCCCCAAGCATTTATTTCTGCCCAGAAATGGTTTAAGCCAAAAATTTACTGCATCCTGCTCTAAAACAGTGAAGGCACATATAGGGTCTGTTTATGCATGGCATTGTACCATGTCCATATTTACTGTGACCCATATCTTTGTAGTGGAATCCATACCTTTCTCTTAAGCCTACTGACATTGGTTGTCACCTTAACTTGATGTTATGCCTAACCAACCTTTATACTCATTCATGTATTGTGTTGTTTCTCATGGAATGTTTTGGAATGTTGGTTTCTCTTGTACTTTTGAAAATGCAGTAAAATCTTCCATTAATCTTCCATTAGACATTTAATAAAGCTATAGTCATGCACTTTGTATTCTATGAATGCATTTCCAATATTATACTCCCTACTGAAGAACACACATATTCCAAACTATAGATAAAATATCCCAACTCCCAACTTTTTTATTAAAAAAATTATTACGAATGCCCAACTTGTTTAGTGCAGCCTATTCAAATCCTGCTTTTTATTTAAAGCAAAGTTCCACCCCAAAAAAAAGTAGAAGATCCACTTGTTTGCCTCCTCCCCCCCTCCACTGCCATATTTGGCACCTTTTGGGGGAGAGCGGGTACCTGGTTTTGACAGGTACCCGCTCCCACTTCCAGCCCAGTTCACCGCAGTGAAGTGAGACGGAAGTTCGGCCCCCTCCTTCCCCCTGAAGTCTCCTGGGAACTTTCGCAGGTCGCAGAAGACGGCCGAACCAATCAGGATGTGCAGCGCAACTCGCACATGCGCAATAGGGCACCCATCTGTGAAGCTGCAAGCTGTCACAGCCGGGTGCCCACAGTTGAGACGCCCCGGTGCCGTGGAGAGAAGGAGAGAAGGAATGGGTGAGTACATCGCTGAACCCTGGGACATGTAAGTTTTTGTAGCTGCTGACTTTTAATAAATACAAAAACGTCTGGAACTCCACTTTATTGTGTGAATGATGAGCGTACTTTCCTTTACAGAGCCTGGCTTCACACTTGTGTGGTGCGGCCCATCGCATTTGATTCGCACGGGAACCACACCGCATTCCTGCGCAAAGCACATGCAATTTCTGTACGGTGCAATTTGAACCATATGTTACGTATGGCTCAAATCACACCGCATCCGCACCAAAAAGGTGCAGGACCCTTTTTTTTGTCCGCACCAGAATCAGATCGCACGGGTGTTCACACCCATGTGATACGATTTTGCCCATCGCACCACGTTTTATGAACTGATTTCAGGGTGTCGTTAACTTAAAATACACACCCGCAGCAGTTTGCATGAACAGGGTGCGATTATGATGCGGTGTGGAAATCATACAGAAACTGCTACGAATTCCACACCACATCAGTGTGAACCCGGGCTTACTTTCCATACTTTCTTCAAATACCTTTTTTAGAAGTTTCTGTTTGTGTTCAGACATGAGACATGCAGCATGGCCCTGAATAGGATAATGCATGACCTCTGTCTGTAGTCTACACCGACTCTTCCTGTGAAGAAACTACATAGCTCACAATTGCTGGGTTTCTCAGTGTAGTGTTTTGCAGGTGAAAAGTAGTAATTAGATCTGACACAGGCAGTAGCAGGCAGATCAGTGAAGGGAAGAGATGTGTTTTCATTACATTAGTACATCTACATTTGTGATGCAACACAATGGAAAGGGAAAGGCATTGATTGGATGCTGGATTACGTTGAACAAGAAATTGCTTGTCACTTTGGTGACAAGGGGCAAGCTAGGTAAATGAATACATGAACATAGGGGAATCAATCAGCCATTACTATACAAACTGCAACAGCAGCACGTGGGTCCATCTTTGCAAGGTGAGGCAAATCTAGTTAAAACAACAAAAACTGTTGAAAGTGTAAAATGCTGTTACAATTTGAAATCTTCAAAGCATAACAACTAATAAGGAAGATAGGATTATAGTTCTGTAATTATTTGTAAGTGTGACTACAAGGGACACAATCAGTCATTTACTTCTGCAAGAAAAGGGCTGTCAGGAATGGATTCAGCACTGGTGGTGGGACTCTCCTGCCGTGTGGGCTGCAGTACCAGAGCTGACCAGCGGGTGCTCTCAGCACTGGTGGTGGGACTTTCCTGCCGTGTGGGCTGCAGTACCAGAGCTGACCAGCGGGTGCTCTCAGCACTGGTGGTGGAACTCTCCTGCCGTGTGGGCTGCAGTACCAGAGCTGACCAGCGGGTGCTCTTAGCAGCCAGAAGCTCACAATCAGCCAAACCTGGGGCTGATTACAGAAAGGTGTATATAAGGCATGACCAGGCCTGTGCTCTGGGCCTTGGTGTATGTTTTCCATGAGCCCCTGTATCCTATTCCTAGTTCCTGTGAGAAGATACCTTGTTGCCGACCCTGCCTGATCCTGATTCCTGTTGACCGTCTCCTGTTCTGACTACTGGCTCATCCCTGACCATCCTTCTGCCTGATCCTCTGTACTGCGCTGTCCGTGAGTTACTGAACCCGGCTTGTGACCGTGACCATTCTCTGCCTGCTCCTTTGATACCTTGCTGCCCGCACGTTGCTGACTTGGCCCGTCTGACCACGCTCACTACTCTGCCCATCCATCCATCCTGCACGGATCCAGCCGTACCTGCACATACCTCTGGCGGATCCCTCTATCACTAGCAGGTGTACTCAGGGGCCGCGACCTGGTTCCTGTCTGCTCCAAGTCCATCCCCACCATCAGGGGCCCTGGTGAATAGCAGACTGGGACTTAGACTCCGCGCCCTGGGGAATCCTGCCCTGAGGACCGCTAGAGGTACCACCAGGCAGTCATTACAGAACCCTACGGCCGGCCTGACCATTCCACCTCTCCAGCCCTGACTACGCCTGTGTTCCTGCACCTCCTAAGATTAGTGGAAGGTTAGTTTGCTCACTGTGCGTTTATATATATATCTGGGTGGCTAATAATAACCTGTATTATACTATACCTGAAACCTGCGTTTCCCTGTGTCAGTCCACACCTTTCTGGTCACTCCTTGATTCCTGACAGGGGCATTCCTAGGGCAGTTTGAAGTTAAAATTAATCTATACTGTATATAGTCAGCAGGAAGAGAGCCAAGAGCAAATGTCTGCAGACTTCCCTGTATAGTAAACCTGTGAGCCACTCAGTCTATCACTATTCTCCTTTAAGTGAATTATTGTAGCATTTTTTTTAACCCTTTGCACTTTATAAATGTTTTTCAAACTTCTGTTAGAAATCTAAATGTATGCAGAGCATGTGCTTTGCAGTGCGTTAAATTTGGTTCATGATGATTATCTTTAGAGATGAGCGAATCGAACCAGGCGAAGTGGAATTCGTTTCGAATTTCAGGAAAAATTCGATTCGCGGCGAATCCGAATATTAGCATACTTCGGGTGCGCGAATCGGATTTTTCCCGATCAGCCGGCAAAAGTGTCCCTGCAGAGAGCTCCGCTATTTCTGACAGTTCTCTGACAGTTCCTTCACATGTACAGCGGTTGAAACATTGTATCTATTTGTTTCCATTTAGGATACAGATGTTTTTTTTCGGAAATAGATACAATGTTTCAACCGCTGTAAATGTGAAGGAACTGTCAGAGAACTGTCAGAAATAGCGGAGCTCTCTGCAGATACACTTTTTGCTGTACTGGAATACTTCTTCTTTTCATTCTTCTTTTCATTCTTCTTTTCATTCTTCTTTTCAATCTTCTTTTCATTCTTCTTTTCATTCTTCTTTTCATTCTTCTTCTCATTCTTCTTTTCATTCTTCTTCTTCTTTTCATTCTTCTCATTCTTCTTTTCTTCTTCATGAAGAGAAGAATGAAGAGAAGAATGAAGAGAAGAATGAAGAGAAGAATGAAGAGAAGAATGAAGAGAAGAAGAATGAGAAGAATGAAAAGAAGAATGAAAAGAAGAAGAATCTTTTCATTCTTCTCATTCTTCTTTTCATTCTTCTTCTTCTTTTCATTCTTCTTCTTCTTCTTTTCATTCTTCTTCTCTTCTTTTCATTCTTCTTCTTCTTTTCATTCTTCTTTTCATTCTTCTCATTCTTCTTTTCTTCTTCATGAAAAGAAGAATGAAAAGAAGAATGAGAAGAATGAAAAGAAGAATGAAAAGAAGAAGAATGAGAAGAAGAATGAAAAGAAGAAGAAGAATGAAAAGAAGAATGAAAAGAAGAAGAAGAAGAATCTTTTCATTCTTCTCATTCTTCTTTTCATTCTTCTTTTCATTCTTCTTCTTCTTCTTTTCATTCTTCTTCTTCTTTTCATTCTTCTTTTCATTCTTTTCATTCTTCTTCTTCTTCTTCTTTTCATCTCATTCTTCTTTTCATTCTTCTCATTCTTCTTTTCATTCTTCTTCTTCTTCTTTTCATTCTTCTTCTTTTCATTCTTCTTCTTCTTTTCATTCTTCTTTTCATTCTTCTTTTCATTCTTCTTTTCCTTCTTCTTTTCCTTCTTCTTCTTCTTCTTCTTCTTCTTCTTCTTCTTCTTCTTCTTCTTCTTCTTTTCATTCTTCTTCTTCTTCTTCTTTTC